TATTTTATTTTATTTATTTTTTTAAATGATATTTATTAAAGTTTCCATAAAAAATTAAACATAGAACATAAAAAAGAAATACACAATTCAAAAAATACACAATACATAATCCAAAAAACAAAACAAAAGAAAAAAAACAAAAGAAAAAAAGAAAAAAAAACAGTTAAAAACAATATCACCTTTTCATCTCCATTTTTAAATTTACTTATTTTCTGGACGTCCTCATACCTCCCTTTTTTGTATTCCAGTTCAAATTGTTTGTCCAGCAATTTCTTTCCCTCTTTTTTAATCCCAATCTTTAGTCTTAATATAATATAACATTAAAATTTTACCTCTTAAAAACCAAATTTCCATTTCCTTAAACTTTTTTAATCCTAATCCTTAATCTTAATCTATCTATAACTTTAAATCCTGTACAGCTGGAAGCCACTTATTTTCAATCCAACATCACTCTAACATTCTTTAATTTTGCAATGTTTCTGCAGATAGTCTTTGAATTTCTTCCAATCTTCCTCCACCGACTCTTCTCCCTGGTCACGGATTCTACCAGTCATTTCCGCCAGTTGCATATAGTCCATCAGTTTCATCTGCCATTCCTCCAGTGTGGGAAGCTCTTGTGTCTTCCAATATTTTGCGATGAGTATTCTTGCTGCTGTTGTTGCGTACATAAAGAAAGTTCTATCCTTTTTTATCACCATTTGGCCGACTATGCCCAGGAGAAAGGCCTCTGGTTTCTTGGGGAAGGTCTATTTAAATACCTTTTTAATTCATTATATATCATTTCCCAGAAAGCCTTAATCTTTGGGCACGTCCACCAAAGGTGAAAAAATGTACCTTCAGTTTCTTTACATTTCCAACATTTATTATCGGGCAAATGATAGATTTTTGCAAGCTTGACTGGAGTTATGTACCACCTATATATCATTTTCATAATATTCTCTCTTAAGGCATTACATGCCGTAAATTTCATACCTGTGGTCCATAACTGTTCCCAGTCAGTGAACATAATATTATGTCCAACGTCTTGTGCCCATTTAATCATAGCAGATTTCACCGTTTCATCCTGAGTATTCCATTTCAGCAGCAAGTTGTACATTCTTGACAAATTCTTAGTTTTGGGTTCTAACAGTTCAGTTTCTAATTTTGATTTTTCCACCTGGAAGCCAATTTTCTTATCCAATTTAAATGCCTCCATTATCTGAAAATAATGAAGCCAGTCTCGCACTTTGTTTTTTAGTTTTTCAAAGCTCTGCAATTTCAGTCTATCTCCATCTTGTTCCAAAATTTCCCAATATTTCGGCCATTTGACCTCCATATTGAGCTTTTTCAAGGCTTTTGCTTCCATCTAGCCCTCTTTTAAAACCATCCAAGTTAGTGGCACCAACTGCCTCCTGAAGCAGCAAATTCCACAGTTTATAAAGCTGCCTCAAGAAGGACTTCCTTTTATCCACCCTGAATCCAACCATTTCCAGTTTAATTGGATGTCCATGGATGTCCATGATGTTATGAGAGTTGCCAGAAAAACTTTATCGTATTTCTCCATGCCACACATCATTTTATGAACCTCTATCCTGTTACCTTACTTGTATTTTCTCTAAGCTAAAGAAATCCCAAATGTTGCAACTTTACTTTGTAGGGCTTGGGCTCCATCCCTTTCCTAGTTTTGGTTGCCCTTTTCTGAACCTTTTCAGAAAAAATACACTATCGAGGGAAGGTGGTCAGAACTGCACATGGTATTCCAAATGCTTTCTCCATCTTCCAGTTCAAACGGTTAAGGGGTTGGGGGTTGGTTTGTTTTTTGCAAGCCTGTGGTTCTTTGAACATAGCAGAAGGTGGTTGGTGGGCCCAGAAAGACTGCACAGTGGAGTGCTCTGCTGGTTGCGCTTGGAAGAGAGCATGAGGAGGCAAGAGGAGCCCCCTGCGCTGGATCAGCTGAGGGGCTCATCTTCCAGCGTCATAACTTTTATATGCCTGTTGTCTTTATCCATGGAGTTTTCTTGGCAGGGATACTGGAGTGGCTTGCCGGTTCCTCCTCCAAGTGGACCACGTTTGGTCAAAACTCTCCACTATGCCCTGCTCGGCATAGTTCATAACTTCTCTCAGTTATTCAAGCCCCTTCGCCACGGCAAGGCAGTGATCCATGAAGGGGACCACAGACTCTAGGACTTGCCGATCAGAAGGTCAGCAGTTCGAATCCCCGCAATGGGGTGAGCTCCCATTGCTCGGTCCCTGCTCCTGCCAACCTAGCATTTCGAAAGCACGTCAAAGTGCAAGTAGATAAATAGGTACTGCTCCGGCAGGAAGGTAAACGGCGTTTCCATGCGCTGCTCTGGTTTGCCAGAAGCGGCTTAGTCATGCTGGCCACATGACCTGGAAAAGCAGTCTGTGGACAAATGCCAGCTCCCTCGACCAATAAAGCTTTGGTTTTTGTGTTTTGTTTGTTTTTTGCAAGCCCGTGGTTCTTAGAACATGGCAGAAGGGGCTTGGTGGGCCCAGAAAGACTGCACCGTGGAGTGCTCTGCTAGCTGCGCTTGGAAGAGAGCATGAGGAGGCAAGAGGAGCCCCCAAAGACCCTGCTGCTGTGCCATCATTCCATCCTCACTGTGGCCAACCAGAAGCATCAGGGAAGCCTCTGAGTGGGACATGTGCTGTTGTGTCTCTGAATGGGGAAATGGGGAATATATTGCAAAACAACCTCTTTGATCTTCCCTTGTACAGGGACCACAACCTGTGCAATACATGCTTCTCATCATTTCTTGTGCAATGATGGCCTCACCTTCCTTCAGCCAATTAAATCTGGGCAGGACTCCCCTGAGGATGTGGCCTTATAAAGCACCTGGCTACAGGCTAGAGAGCACTCTGCTCTGCCTCACCATGAAGTCTGGTGGCCTCGTCTTCTTCCTCGTGGGGCTCTTCGCTCTCTGTGCCATGATGCCCTCTGCCTCAGCCCAAGGTATGTGAGCCCATTGGGGCCAATCCTTCTGATGCTGGTTTGTGTGGGCCTCCAAGTGGGACCCCCTTCATCCCACACCCCCAAACCCTTCCAGGTGTGGAGTCCAGACTCTTCAGAGGAGGAGAGGCACCGCTATACCTGGGAATGTTGTAGGTGGCTCCACAGTGAATCCTTCAATGTGTTGCCATCTCCTGTAGGAAACCAGAGAGTTCTTATGGATGGGAGGAAGAAAGAGAAGTGGGGTGATAGATGAGGAGGGGAGGGGAGGATGGAGATGGAGGCACCTCCCCAACACATACAAGCAACTAAAGGTGGCCCTTAAAGCTGCAGCCCAGGAGTTAAGCAGGTGCAGAAAGGAGGTCTCTGGTGCCCAGTCCATAGCTGGAAAGAACTTGGCATCAAGAAGAAGAAGAGTTTGGATTTGATATCTGCTTTATCACTACCCAAAGGAGTCTCAAAGCGGGTAACATTCTCCTTTCCCTTCCTCCCCCACAACAAACACTCTGTGAGGTGAGTGGGGCCGAGAGACTTCAGAGAAGTGTGACTGGTCCAAGGTCGTCCAGCAGCTGCATGTGGAGGAGCGGAGACGCGAACCCGGTTCCCCAGATTACGAGTCTACCGCTCTTAACCACTCCACCACACTACACATCCCCATCAAGGGATGGGGGTGGCCATTGTGGGAGAAGTTAGCCAGCCCCAGCAAAGACTGATCCAGTTGCAACCCAGATGTTCAACTCTGTGCTGTGCTCATCCTATAAAGGCTGGGGTAAAGAAAGGCTTTTCAAATGTTGTCTCTGAGCCATAATGATGTTCTTTGTTTCAGGGAAGCCTGGAAATTGCCCTTTCTATGCTGCAGTAGTGAAGCCACCTTGCATTAAGTGGTGTACTACAGATTATGATTGTCCTTCCGTCCAGAAATGCTGCTCAAAATTTTGCTCCATGGTCTGTGAAAACCCAAGTAAGATGCTGAGCCCCTTGTGGATGCTTTATTGTAATTTATTGCCCCCCCCCCCTTTCCTTCACTATGGGCTCCCAGTGTGTGTTGCAGTTTGAAACTGCAGTTAAAACAAATTGCAGTCTCAGGAATACAGTTGGTCCCCCAAAATGTAGATATCTATCAGGTAGGAACAACATAATGAGGGTGCCAGACACACCTCTGTGGGAAGGGAGTTCCCCCAACTTAGGGGCTGCCCCAGAGATGACTTTGTCAGGGTGGAGGAACTGCCAAGAGAGCCCGCCTGCTGATGTTTACTCCCAAGAGAGTCCGCAAGTATGGAGAAGCTCTCTCAGATAGTTGGTGCCTACGTTATTTAGGGCATTAGACATTAATGTAGGCACCTTGAATGGAGTCAGGAAAGGAACTAGGTGGGCTGAAGACAGCAGTTCTGCACAAATTGTCCAAGTTTTGCTCAAGGAGGGATGCCTGTTGCCTCTGAACTGACAGCTAAGAGATGGTCCATAATTATGACATGGGAACAGGGGGATGGGGCCAAGGCTCTGTCAATGAGCACCTTGGTCCCAGGCTCCATCTGGGCATCTCCAGGTAAGGAAAACCCTTGTCGTCTGCTTAGCTAGGGTGATGAGCACCGATCTCTCTAGGGTTCTTGGATGCCTGAACACTCTTTTATTCCTGCAGCAAAGTGATGACAGTGATGCACAGCCTGAAATCCCTGCAACTTCTACAGTTTTGGAGATGTGAACCCAGCACCCAAGGAGTGAAGGCAACGATAAACCCAGCTCCTCTTGACCCAATGGGCCCGATCCAGCTTCCTTCCCTGCCTGCAATAAAATGATCCCTGTGCCTGCATACCAGAGTGTCTTGTTCTTGAGTCTTGCTTGCTTATATCTTTCCAAAAGGGTGTTGGCAGGAGGGAGGGAGGAAGAGCCTTTGGCTGAGGGCTGTGGAAACCCAACGGATTGCACATACAGCCAGGGAAGGGCAGCTTCACAGTGTGGCAGAGTTAGCAGGGAAAATGCACTGGGTGAAGGGCAAAGGGTCACTGTCCGTTGGGGATAGAAGCAGGAGAACCATGGCCATTGATTTAAAGCAGGATGGGTGTAACGAGATCTTGTAGGTCAAATAATGCACCCCTCTCTTGACTTCTATCCCTAGTTCCCAAATATTTGACTAACGAATCAGGGCTTGCTGTGTCTTGCCTCTGGGACCCAGGTCCTTTGTGGTCTCTCTCCTGGAGTGTGTTGCTGCTTTCGTGCCACTTTCCACTTTTGAAATCAACTGGACACAGGACAGCAGCAGCTGTGTGTGCAGGAACCCCCTGCAGTTCTGGGCAGGGAGGGTGACCAGAACTCCTGGGGCCTCTTCCTCTGGTTGTTCAGCAGCCAAGAGCTGATTCCTGTTCCACACAGAGTCCAAAGTGGCAGCATTGTGTGACCCTCAGGTGGAAGACTCAGGTGGGAGCAGTGTGAATATGAGGAGTCCTAACCACTTGGAGGGATGCAGGTGGCACTGTGAGTTAAACCACAGAGCCTAGGACTTGCCAATCAGAAGGCTGGCGGTTCGAATCCACACAACAGGGTGAGCTCCCGTTGCTCAGTCCCTGCTCCTGCCCACCTAGCAGTTCGAAAGCACCTCAAAGTGCAAGTAGATAAATAGGTACCACTCCGGCGGGAAGGTAAACGGCATTTCCGTGCGCTGCTCTGGTTGGCCAGAAGCGGCTTAGTCATGCTGGCCACATGACCCTGAAGCTGTACGCCAGCTCCTCAGCCAGTAAAGCGAGATGAGCCCGAGAGTTGGTCATGACTGGACCTTACGGTCAGGGGTCCCTTTACCTTTTTAACCACATGGAGCCAGGCCTTTCAGGCTGGGAGTCCTGTTCCTTGGAGGCAGCATCCTGAGCTGGACCCCATTTCCATAGGGTAGCGAGGCGTCCTCTTCATGCCACCCCAAAGACACCCATTTCACAGAGACTCAGATTCCCAACCAAGTCAAATATACTCAGTCCTCCCAAGCCCTCTTTCTGGGTCTCGAAAAAGGAGAGGGGAGGACCCACACCAATGGGTTGAAGTCAAAACAAAGGGGGTCTCAACTAAACATTAGGAAGGACTTTCTGATGTAGCAGGAACCCCCCACCCCAATCATTCAGTTTGTACAAACTTCACACACTCACACTCACACACTACATATGCCACACTTCTGTTATAAATTCATAGAAAAATCAACCATACATTGGATTTGCACTGTTCCATTTTTATTTTACTCCATATGACAAGGACTATCAAATTGGTGTGGCTTGGTTCTGGTCAGCCATAATCCCTTCACCATCCCAGCACATCCACAGGAGCCCTGCCCAGTTGCTATGCCAACCCTGATGGTCCTAGACAGAAGACCATCAAGATCACAAAGAACTTGCATATGGGAGTGGATTCAGCATGGACTGAAACAAAGGACAATGATCAGATCTTCCCTCTGGGGGCAGGAAACTGCCAACTCCCCTTTGTCTCCTGGAAGTGACTCATGGGCAGGGGGGAAATGAGGAACCAGCCAGGTGACAGGACACTCAGGTTACCACCACAACTCCTCCCTCAACCCCTCCTTTCTGTAATGTATGCATGATGTCAACCCCTCCTTTCTGTAATGTATGCATGATGTTTCTGGGGGTGGGCTTGACCTAGAGGATGGGAATTTCAAAAGTTTTTATAAGGTCTTGCACACCATCTTTCTGGGTCTTTCCTCTCTCCTGCAAGTGAGGGGAACACCCTGTTGCAACAGTTCAATAAAGGCCAAGCCTACAGGCTGCTGTTTTGCTCCAAGTTATCCTGGTTGGTGTCTTTGTTTTTGTCCAAGGGAGCCCTCGGATTTTTCCGGTAACACTGACAGTAAGAGTTGTTTGACAGTAGAACAGACTCTCTCCTTCATTGGAGGTTTTTAAGCCAAAGTTGGCTGGCCAGGGATGCTGTCATTGCCTTCCATCTTCCAGCCCCCAGCCACTTTCCAGTTAAGCCAAGCAGCCCAATAGCATTATGATGTCAGCCGTAACAGTGACAGAGAAACATCCCAGCTTATTAAAGAGTCAGATGTGCAAAAATTTCTCTTGGGCATTGTCGGCCAACTGGTGCCAAAGAAGGATAGAACCTTTTTCATGTATGCCACAACAGCAGCAAGAATACTTATCGCAAAGTATTGGAAGACACAAGATCTACCCACTCTGGAAGAATGGCAGATGAAGGTGATGGACTATATGGAACTGGCGGAAATGACTGGCAGAATCCGAGACCAGGGAGAAGAGTCGGTGAAAGAAGACTGGAAAAAATTTAAGGACTATTTACAGAAATATTGCAAAATTAAGGAACTTTAGAAGGATGTTGGATAGAAACTAAGAGGTTTTTAGCTGTAATGCTTTAAGAGACATGGAAAAAAAAAGGTTAACAATTGGGTAAAAGATTAATGGTAAGGATTTGCTGAACCAACAAATTGAATTGGAATACAAAGAAGGGAGGTATGAGGAGGTCCGGGGAAATAAGAGTAAGGAAGATAGGTTATGGAACATTATTGTGTTTTTAACTGTTTTATTTTGTACGTTTTTTCTTATTTTCTACTTTTTTGCTGTATTTTAAAACTTTATACTTTTTTCTTTGTTTTGTATTTTCATGTACTTTTGTGAAAATTTAATAAATATCATTATAACAAAATAAAAATAAAAAAATAAAAAAAAAATAGAGTCAGATGTGCCTGGCAAAGCGGAAGGTGAGCAGGACACTTTGTAAGTGGAGTCAAACAGGACCCAGATTGAGCCCAAAGGCAAGGCTGCCTAGGAAGGAAGTCCTCAAGGGATGCTCCATCTTTGCATGTATTGGTGAAGGGGGGGGGGGGAGGAGTAGAATGGAATATGTTGCCCATTGTGTT